AAAGCCTATATTTATATAATAAAATAGAAGTACAAAAAGAAAAAATGAATGGTGAGAAAATAAATAATTGAACATTAAAAAATAAATAAAATAAACATCTGCAGAATGTAGATAAAAGTTAAAACAGAAAATTAAAAGTCTAACAAGAAAAAAAAGAAAACATATGAATATAAAACATAAATATATTAACAAAAATAATCAGAGAAAAAAAATACTTAAAGCCTTGAATAAAAAAAAATTAGAAAAAAAAATTGAAGCTTAATACAAAAAAAGAAAAAGAAAAAAGAAAAAAATGCATTTGCTGTAAAATAAAAATTAAAACAAAACATAATAAAAAACTATCCAGTGTTACTCAGCAAAGTCGAATGCTTTGGGAGAAGAAGGAGTGGAGGATTTTGAAAGTATGGAACGATTAGAATTGTGGATGATTTTTGAGAGTATGTGATGATTTGGATTTAATTGATAGAATAATTTGATTCTGTTTTGATTTCCTATCGTGTCTCTGATTGTCGAATTTATTAACGAGGGTAAAATATTATTTTTACTTTTTTACCTCTCTTAAAATGAATGAGATTTAAAATATTATTTTTATTTTTTACTTTTATCTCTTTTAAAATGAATGAAATTTAAAATTTACTTTTACTTTTTACTTTTACCTAATATAAATCAAATAGTTTAAGAGGATAAAAACTAAAAAGTCCATGACCTTTCTTCTTCCCTGCTGCTTTCTTCTTCCTCGATAGATTTTGTTAGGGTTACTATAATTGCGCGATGCAGCTGCGATTCAGGCGCGATTTCACCGTGATAGAAGCCGCAACAACCACCACACTTTGGCTTATTGTAGCGACGCGGTCTTGTAGATACAATGTATGTTTTGATGATTGCATAGTGGCAACAACAAAAAAAGAAGAGTATTAATCAAGACGAAAAAGCATCAATCATATGTGAATATTAAAGATGTATAATGTAGCCACACAAGAAGAGTAATGACATATCAAAGTGGCAAAATTATTGGATCAAGAGCAACAAGGAATAATTAGAAGAGCAACACAAAGATCAAAGACAATAAACCATAGACAACATCTAATAGAAGCACAATATCATAACCATAGTGAAAAATGATCAGAACTAACAAAGTGTCAAGCATTGTCATATCCAACAAGTCAAAGCATCAAACTCAAGTAAAGTTCCAAGACACAAGCTTAGAAGAAGAGATGGTTTGAGAGAGATGATTAGGGTTCAAAGAAGGTTAGAAGAAGATGAACATGACCTCAAATATGATACCCTGATCTCACCCCCCTTCTTCAATATACCAAAAGATAATCACTTCAATATACCAACACATAAGCTTTAATGTTAATAGGGTTAAAAATAACACAATATATTCTTTTTTTCTACATTTTACTGTCAGCAATTATGTGTTTTAAGTCATATTTTATGGACTTATCACCACTAGGGATGTGCATGGGCGAACCGAACCGAATTTTTTTAAAAACCGAACCGAATTGGTTTAAATGGTTCGGTTCGGTTCAAAACTGGTTCGGTTTGGAAATGGTTCGGTTTTGTTGGAAACGATTTGGTTCGGTTCGGAACCGATTCGGGTCGACCCTATTTTGAAAAGAAAAAAATTTAAAATTTAAAAATTAAGTTGTAAAAAACAATTTGGTTCGGTTCGGAAATGATTCGGGTCGGTTCAAAATGGTTTGATTCTTAAACTGGTTCTAAAAACCGGTTCGGTTCATGAATTGGTTCTTTAAAAACCGGTTTGGTTCATGAACTGATTTTTAACAATCAGTTATTTTAAGGGCAGTTCGGTTCGGTTCATAATTCGATTCAGTTTTTTGATTATTTTGCACATCCCTAATCACACCACCCATACTATTCGTGAATTCGATCTTCAAGGCAACACATCTTGTATCAAGTTGATGTGCCTCTGGCATATATGATTTTCCAAGCTAAAAATAATAAAGATTAAGTCATAAAAGAGCATTTTTTGGACATATTTGCTTTATACATTGACTTTTCCATTTCAGTTTTATTTCACACTAATTTCTTATTTTTATATAGGAAAAATAGAAGGAAAATTCGAAAATTGAGAAAAGAAGATTTCCGCGCCAGTCATTCTCTGCCAATTTCCAGAGTTTTGGCGCGATTCTGCGCCGTAGTAGAGCGAGGCCGCGCCAGTCATTTTCTGCCAATTTCCAGAGTTTTGGCGTGATTCTGCGCCGTAGTGGCGCGATTCCGCGCCAGTTTGCGGAAAGACCTGACCGCGTGTTTTGAAAGGAAATTTTTGGAACGACGCGCGAGAAAGAATACAAAAAGGGTTCTGAATAGAAAAAAGGGGAATTCGATCATCAGAGACGGCGGTGCTTCAGAGAGAGAGTTCTTGAGAGAGAATCTTGATCATCTTTTATTTTCTATTTTTCTATTTCTAGTTTATGTTGGATTTTTGTATGTTAGCCATGACCATGGTTGGCTAGTACTCTTTATTGTAGTTAGGGTCACAAACCCTATGTGAACCCGTGTTACCATGGATTGATTTATATTTACTCTTTTATATATTTATATTTATCTCTACTCTGTGCGTAATTTTTATCCTCTTTATTAGAACTGATCAATCTGATAGTAGATGATAGTTCGAGGATTGGAGCTCTAGATAGGAATATTGGGGCTTTGATCTTGAAGGGGAGTAGGATAACAATTTGTATGCGTGCTAGGAATAGACGTATATATTATTGCAGATGTTTAATTTATCGTGCTTATTTCTTAATTCCATGAGGAACATTGCAAGGAATTGGGGTTCCAATTGGGGTTAAAGGGTTAATCTTGCAAGGAATTGAGGGTTAGCTGTTTAATATTTTTAGATGATAAATGATCTGAATACTTATTTAGATGAGTATTTTAAATCAATCCTGAGTAAATGGCGGGGATCATATGATGAGTGCACTCTAGCTACAATGCTTTCTTATATTTTATAAAATCCATATTTGTTATATTTTCATAATAGAAATCCAAAAATACATCTTTACCTTTAGTTTTTATTTTTACTGAAATCCACAATATTTTTCCACAACTATTTGAATTTCTTCCATCTTAAAAAGAACAGTTATTTGATATTCGATCACAATCCCTGTGGAAACGATACTCTTCTTATCACTGTATTACTTGTTCGATTGGTATACTTGCCAACACGTATCAAGTTTTTGGCGCCGTTGCCGGGGATTGGCGTTTCGTATATCATTTAATATTGATCTTTAAGATTGGATTTTGTGAATATTTGTATTTGTATTTCTATTTTATTTTTATTTGAAAAGTGCTACTAACCTTCTTCTTGAGTTTTATGCGAGGCAGAACTAAAGAATTTCTATTTGATTCTGAGATTGCAAAGACTGAAAGGAGAAATAGAAAACTTGTTCGGAAGAAGCTTTAATTCGTAGAGTTTGGTACTCCATCTGAAGAGACATAAGAGATACCAGGTGAATCACAAATCATGGCAGCAAATAATGATGCAAAAAATCCACTCATGGATAATGTTCTTTCTCCATCTTTTAACAAGCATGGAACAGATTCCTCATAGAATCACAAAGCATTGTCCAGCCTGAAATTGATAACAATAATTGGGAGCTTAAGTCTTCTGTTATTCAATTGGTGGAGAGAGCCTAGTTTGGAGGAGGAGAGAATAAAGATCCTCATAGATTCATAGACAGATTCCTTATGATATGTGACTCAACCAAATATCCTCAGGTCTCCAATGATGTAATCCGGTTGAGGTTGTTCCCTTTTGCTATTAAGGGAAAGGCTCTTAGTTGGTTGGAAAGACAGCCTGCACGTAGCATTCCTACATGGGATGATTTGTCTCAAAAGTTCTTTGCTGAATTCTTTTCTATGGAGAGATATAATCAGATGGTGAATGATATTACTAATTTCACTCAGTTAAAGGGTGAAACTATGTGTGCAGCTTGGAACAGATTCAAGGATTTAATGAGGAGGTGTCCTCATTATAACTTGACTGCTGGAAATCAAGTGAGAATCTTTTTCAACGGTTGTACAACTGATATTCGGATGGTGTTGAATGGTGCAGCAGGTGGTACTATTAAATCCTTGAAAGCAAATGAGACTCTTGACCTGATTGAGAGAATGGCCGCCAATGAAAATGAAGGTTTTCCATCTAAGCCTAAGAGATGTATTCTTCAGCTGGAAGAAAATGATGTTGTGCTGGCTGAAAATAAGCTATTATCTCAGCAAATGGCAAATTTGACTTCAAGGCTTGATAAGATGCCGATTTTTGGTGTTCAGGGTAAAGCTGCTGCTGTTGTGTGTGAATATTGCCAAGACAATCATGAGTCTAATGAATGTCCTTCTTTGATGTCTTCTGATTCTCCTCAACAAATGCAGGTGAATGGCATTTGGTATGATCAAAGATCTCCGCAGCAAAATGTTCAAAGAAAGCAGAATTTTTCTACTGGAGGTAGTAATTTTTTTTCTACTGGAGGTAGTAATTTTCAAAGGAGGATTCAGGGAACTGGTCTTGATTTCAAATCTAACAATTATTTGCAGCCTTCACCAATCCAACCTAAGGACCCTTCTGATTTGGAGAAGCTAGTAGGACAAATGGCTCAACATTCTAATACTTTCATAGAGGAGACTAGAGCTAATACCAAAAACACAAATGCATATATTAGAAATTTGGAGAATCAAATTGGCCAACTATCTAAACAAATTGATGATAGAACTCTAGGTACATTTCCTATAACACAATTACCAAACCAAAGGAAGATTGTATGGCCATCACAACTAGAAGTGGTAAAGTAGTAACATCTCTAGAAAAGCCAAATATAGATGTGGAGGATGGCGAGAAGCTTAATGAGGTTGTGGAGCCAGAAAAAGAAGTTGAAATTCCTTCTAAGGTTGTGAAGCCTCTTGAGAAGGGTGAAGAAAAATAGCAGCCTATTGTTGTTGAAAAAAAGAAATTTGAGCTGAGTGATGAATATCTCGAGAAAATGGAACCTTATCCTGAATGGTTCAAGCCAGAACTTAAAACGCAACAGTATGGCAGATTTCTTGATATCTTCAAAAAGTTGCATATCAGCATTCCCTTTGCTGAAGCTCTGGCTAGTATGCCTAATTATGCTAAATTCATGAAGGATCTCTTGTCAAGGAAGCACAAGTTACAAGAGTGCCAAACTGTAGCACTTACTGAGGAGTGCAGTGTTATATTACAAGGAAATTTCCTCCTAAGCTTCGTGATCCCGGAAGTTTCAACATTCCTATTGAAATTGGTAACACTAAAATTGGCAGGGCATTATGCGATCTTGGGGCTAGCATTAATTTGATGTCGCTTTCTGTTTATAAATCCTTGGGGATCACTGAGTTGAAGCCTACTTTGGTATCTCTTCAACTTGCTGATAGATCTTTAAGGAAGCCCAGTGGTATAATTGAAGATGTTCTTGTGAAAGTGGATAAGTTCATCTTTCCTGCTGATTTTGTGGTGCTTGATATGGAGGCAGAAAATGAAATGCCTCTTCTCTTAGGTAGACCTTTCTTAGCCACATCTCGTGCAATGATTGATGTAGAGCACGGAAAGCTGGTGTTGAGAATGAATGAAGAAACAATTATTGTCAATGTTTTTGATTGTATGAAAAAACCATTTGAAAATGGTGATTGTTTCAGACTTGATGTCTTAAAGGAGGTGGTTCATGAAGAGAAAACTCTTATTCAAGAGCTTGAAGAGGATTTGAAAAACTGTGATCATGTTCATTTTGAAGATGATATTGCGGGTGTCTCTGAGGATCTTGAAAAGAAGGAGTCTGATAAAGAGGTTGTGCTCCAAAAGTTGAATTGAAAGAGTTACCTGATACTTTAAAGTATATTTTCTTGGGTGATGAGGAGACTTACCCTGTAATTATCAATAAGGGTTTGTATTCTGATGATGAAAGAAAGCTAAAAGAGGTTCTCTTAGAGCACAGACTGTGTTGGGGTGGTCTATTTCTGATCTTAAAGGTATAAGTCGTTCTTTTTGCACTCATAAGATTCTCATGGAGAATGACATAAAACCTGTGAGGCAACCTCAAAGAAGGCTCAATCCTATGATGAAAGAGGTAGTAAGAAAGGAAGTGGTGAAACTCCTTGATGCATGTATGATTTACCCAATTTTTGATGCTGCTTGGGTGAACCCTGTACAAATTGTTCCAAAAAAGGGTGGTGTTACTGTAGTTAAAAATGACAAGAATGAGCTTATTCCTACCAGGACTATAACTGGTTGGAGAATGTGTGTTGACTACAGGAGGCTGAATGCGTAAACAAGGAAGGATCACTTTCCTCTTCCTTTTGTTGATCAAATACTGGATAGATTGGCTGGTCATGCATACTATTGTTTCTTGGATGGTTATAGTGGCTACAATCAAATTTCAGTAGCTCCTGAAGATCAAGAGAAAACAGCTTTCACGTGCCCTTTTGGAATATTTGCTTATCGGAGGATGCCTTTTGGTCTATGTAATGCACCTGCTACTTTTCAGAGGTGTATGCTCTCTATCTTCTCTGACATGGTAGAGAAATATATGGAGGTGTTCATGGATGAATTCTCTGTTTTTGGCTCTTGTTTTGATTTCTGTTTAGACAACTTGTCTAAAGTTTTGAAAAGGTGCCAAGAGACTAATCTTGTTCTTAACTGGGAGAAATGTCATTTCATGGTTCAAGAGGGAATTATTTTAGGCCACATAATTTCTAAGAAAAGCATAAAGGTTGATAAAGCCAAGTTGATGTTGATTGAAGAACTTCCTCCTCCAGTTAATGTTACTGGAGTTAGAAGTTTTCTTGGTCATGCAGGTTTCTATAGAAGGTTTATAAAAGACTTCTCCAAAATTGCCAAGCCATTGAGTCAACTTTTGGTGAAGGAACATGAGTTCATTTTTTATGATGCATGTCTCAAGGCTTTCAATTTGTTGAAAGAAAAGCTCACTACTGCTCATGTTCTTATAGCTCCTGATTGGAGTATTCCATTTGAGCTTATGTGTGATGCTAGTGACTATGCCATTGGAGCTGTTCTTGGTCGGGGGAAGGATAAAATGCTGCATGTTATTTACTATGCTAGCAAGGTCTTGAATGAAGCTCAAGTTAATTATGCAACAATTGAGAAATAAATGCTAGCAGTGGTCTATGCACTTGATAAATTCCGATCTTATCTCCTTGGTTCCAAAGTTATTGTTTTTACTGACGATTCTGCCATAAAATTTTTGATGACTAAGCAGGATGCCAAGCCACGGTTGCTGAGGTGGATGCTTTTATTCCAAGAGTTTGATATGGAAATCAAAGATAAATCTGGTATGGAAAATAAAGTGGCAGATCATTTGTCAAGGATTCAGGAGAAGAATTTACAAGATGATCCTGAATTCTTTTCCTGATGAGCAGGTGATGGCTATTGTTATAGAACCTTGGTTTGCTGACTTTGCTAATTTCAAGGTGGTCAAGAAATTGCCTGCTGACCTCACTAAGCAACAACTGAAGAAGTTTCTTTATGATGCAAGGAGGTACATATGGGATGACCTATTTCTTTATTTTCAATGTTTTGATGGTCTCCTGTGCAGATGTGTTCCTGAATATGAAGTGAGTCAGATTCTGTGGCATTGTCATGCTTCAGATTATGGTGGCCATTTTGGAGGAAACAGAACTACTCATAAAGTGTTGCAAAGTGGGTACTATTGGCCAACCCTCTTCAAGGATGCAAAAGACTTTGTAGAAAGGTGTGAAAAATGTCAAAAGACGGGTAACATATCCCGTAGAGATGAAATGCCTTTAAATAGCATAATGGAGGTTGAGCTCTTTGATTTGTGGGGGATAGATTTTATGGGACCATTTCCCTCATCTTATTCCAACCAGTACATTCTTGTTGCTGTTGATTATGTGTCTAAGTGGGTGGAGGCTGTGGCTCTTCCCACTAATGATGCCAAGGTGGTTGTGAATTTTCTGAGGAAGAATATTTTCACAAGGTTTGGTGTACCTAGAGCCATAATAAGTGATGGAGGTACTCATTTCTGTAATAAGCAGTTTGACAATTTACTGGCTAAATATGGTGTTAAACATAAGGTGGCTACACCTTATCATCCTCAAACCAGTGGCCAAGTAGAGGTTTCTAAGAGAGAGCTGAAACGGATTCTTGAGAAGACTGTTGGAAATTCTTTGAAAGATTTGTCTAAGAGGATAGATGATGCACTGTGGGCATAGGTATGTCACCTTATCAATTAGTATTTGGAAAATCTTGCCATTTACCTGTGGAGTTAGAGCATAGAGCTTTCTGGGCTATCAAGTTTCTAAATTTTCATCCAACAAAAGCTCTTAAGAAAAGACAGATTCAATTAAGTGAGCTTGATGAGTTCAGAAATTCTGCATATGAGAATGCCAGAATCTATAAGGATAAAACAAAGAAGTGGCATGATAGAAGGATCATTCACAAGGAGTTTGAGCCTGGACAACAGGTTTTGCTGTATAACTCTTGCATGAGGTTGTTTCCAGGTAAGTTAAAATCAAGATGGTCTGGTCCTTATGTGGTGAAAAAGGTTTTTCCCTATGGTACAATAGAAATATCACCACTGGATGAAGATAGACCTTTCAAGGTCAATGGTTCAAGGTTGAAATTCTATCATGGAGGGCCTGTGTTACAAAACACTGTGGCTCAATATCTTAATTCTGTTGGCACATAAAGAGGTAACCGTCAGGCTCGAGACGTTAAACACGCGCTTATTTGAGGCAACCCAATGCATAGTACTGTATTTCATTTTTCTGTAATTTATTTAAAAAAAAGTCAGTATAAAAACCAGAGAATTGGCACGAATTAGCACCATTCTTGCGCGATAACACGTCGCAACCCTGGGCAAAAATCCAGTGAGTTGGCGCGATTGTGCGCCATGGTGGCTGATAACACATATTTTGTTACACTTATTTATTACTCTTGGTTGGTATTTTTAGGTTTTATTTGAATTAAATAAAGGTCTTTTGGGTCAAATCAGAATTGTAGATTTTAATTGGGTTTAATTGATTTTCGTCATAATTTTCCAGATTTACACTACTTTCGTATTTTAACCATATCTCACACTGCAGATGTCCAATTGACTCCTTTCTTGTTGCGTTTTGCAGCTAACAGATAGGGCTACAATCTCTCTATTTCATCTACTGAAGCCCAATTCGGACGGGAAGATGGTCGAAACCTGAGCCCAAGATGTACGTGTTTTGCTGGAAATTTATTTTGACGTTTGGACTTAAGTTATAATTTTGAACCCAATGTACATGAAGCCGAGAGCCATTAATTCTGTTTTGTTTCCTTTTATTTCGGGTTGAATTTGTAGAGCCCGAAGCCCAGCTTGATTAAGGGTTAAAAGGGCGAGAGTAGGGACCTTGTGGAACATCTTTGATTTGAGTTTGAATTTTACAATTTTGAAATTAATATAATTTTCGTCTTTTTTCTCTCCTCTTTTCTTTAATCAACCCAAGGGTTGAGGATTCCATGGTTGAATCCTGAGGATATGCGCCTCATTTTGAACCAAATTTGTTTCTCTTTCCCACTCGGTTTGGCATCGCGCGATTGTGGGTGTTCAATCTGAGATACGCGATTGCGTTCTTAGGAAAGAGATTAACCATTAGATTCAATGGTTAGATTGATTAAGCCAATGAACTCAAGTCGAACGGGTTGATACTCCGCGATTGCGCAAGTAGACGCGTCGTATTCGACCAAACGCTAAGCGATCGCTTAGAGAGGGTTCTCAATTGGAAATAAAGATTCTGATTCAATTGAGATCAATCGCGATTTGGTAATTCAATTGAGATCAATCGCGATTTGGTAATTATTTGTCCAATGATGGATATCCTTGGAATCCTAATTCTTTGGTTGATTGCTTTTAATTTGATTACTTTTTATTTTAATTTATTTTCGTTTAAATTTACAATCATATTAACCCCCCCCCCCATTTTAGTATCCGTTTTTCTTTAGTTTCTGTTTCTCCTTATTTTCTCTTTTCATTTAGTTTCCATTTTCATTTGGTTTCCATTTTATTTTTATTTTTATTTTTATAACTGAGCGATTAAGATCCTTGCAAACTCCTTAAGAGACGACTTAGGTTGACGCTTTACTACAAATTTTTAATAAACCTAATTTAATTAATTTGCGCGAGTTCGACAGCTCGTGTCAAATTTGGCGCCGTTGCCGGGGAGTTTGCATCGTTCTCTATCGTTCGTTACCCTCTTCCTCCTTTTGTTTCAATTATGCAGAAAATTAATCATAGGGAGTGGTGTGATAAGTAGTCTGAGAGGATTTTCACATGTGGATAGACATTGTTTCAAGCCTTCTTATGAGGGACTCTAGCAGCAGCTTGTGGAGGCACGAATCAGGCTCACTGATGCCATTTACCTTCCCTAAGGAGGATAGAGAGTCTTCTTTTCCTTTTTGTTTATTTCCTTTTTCTTTGCAATTTTTGTTTCAACTTTAATTGTGAATAAGTGGATTTTCCTTTTCTTTCTGATAATTGTTGAGTTATACATGGAATGAACTTGGACATATTTCTTTTGATAGATTTTTATGATCAGGCTTAATTCTTGACTCTTGGATTATATTACTTGTTGACTGATATTGTTATGCTGATTGCGTAATTTGGTTTTACCCTTGTGAGATTTTGGTCCTATATGAATGGATTACATCTTTTGCCATTCTCTCTTTTTTGTGTGTTTCTGCTCATGATCTTTATTCTCTAGAACTTGATCTTATTCTTTTTGAAACAGCATTCTTCATTTACATGCATGAATATGATAGAGGCATTTTTTTCTTTTATTTTTTCCTTTAACCAGATAGCCATCCTTTACATTATTATCCCTTGGTGAGCCCCTTTGAGCCTTTTTATCCTTTATTTCTTAAGCCGCATTACAAGTCTAAGTGAAATACCAATTAATTCCACACCCTGGAGATTTACTGAGCATTGGTTTCACTGTAATTTTGTGTTTAAGCGTGGAGGTTTCCCGGGACATGCAACACTTTAAGTGTGAGGGAGGAGTATTCATTTAATGTTTTTTTTTTACCGTAAAGAGAAAAAGAAAAAGAAAAAGAAAAGAAGCAAAGCAAAAAAAAAATTGAAAAAAAAAATTGAAAAAGAAACGAAGCAAAGCAAATCAAAAAAAAAATTGAAAATAAAAATAGTTCTCATCTTTATGTTGTGTTTTTCTGTTTTTATTTCAGTTATATTTTGTTAGTATAATTTTTGTTTTGCTAGTGCTCTTTTAAGTTTCTTGGGTATTTAACCTTTCTTTTCCATATTTTATCCATACCTTCACCTTAGCCCCATTACAACCCTACATAAAGTCCTCTTGATTTATGCATGCATTTGTTAGTAGCAGTGGAGAAGTAGAATTTGAGCAAGCCTATGGTAGAATAATTTTCTTGAGTAGACTTGAGTGATACACTGATTACCTGATACACTTGAGAGAAAAAATTTGAGAGCATCCTGTGAAGAACCATTTTCTGTAATTGGCATGTACAGTTGAAATTAGCAGGTCTTGTGATTTGAGATTAGGGAATTTATATCCTGATTGGTTTATCTATTGAAGATTTGTGATCTTTGTATATTTTTTGTATCCTTGGTAATTGTTAGAAGGGATTGGTTGATCTTAGTCTTTGCTTTCAATTTTAGTTTTTGCCCAGGAGTGCAAAAAGATAAGTGTGGGGGAATTTGATAACACATATTTTGTTACACTTATTTATTACTCTTGGTTGGTATTTTTAGGTTTTATTTGAATTAAATAAAGGTCTTTTGGGTCAAATCAGAATTATAGATTTTAATTGGGTTTAATTGATTTTCATCATAATTTTCCAGATTTACACTACTTTCATATTTTGACCATTTCTCACACTACAGATGTCCAATTGACCTCCGTTCTTGTTGCGTTTTGCAGCTAACAGATAGGGCTACAATCTCTATTGCAACTCCTGAAGCCCAATTCAGAGGGGAAGATGGTCGAAACCTGAGCCCAAGATGTACGTGTTTTGCTGGAAATTTATTTTGACGTTTGGACTTAAGTTATAATTTTGAACCAAATGTACATGAAGCCGAGAGCCATTAATTCTGTTTTGTTTCCTTTTATTTTGAGTTGAATTTGTAGAGCCCGAAGCCCAGCTTGATTATGGGTTAAAAGGGCGAGAGTAGGGACCTTGTGGAACATCTTTGATTTGAGTTTGAATTTTACAATTTTGAAACTAATATAATTTTCGTCTTTTTCTCTCCTCTTTTCTTTAATCAACCCAAGGGTTGAGGATTCCATGGTTGAATCCTGAGGACCTGCGCCTCATTTTGAACCAAATTTGTTTCTCTTTCCCACTCGGTTTGGCATCGCGCGATTGCGTTCTTAGGAAAGAGATTAACCATTAGATTTAATGGTTAGGTTGATTAAGCCAATGAACTCAAGTCGAACGGGTTGATACTCTGCGATTGCGCGAGTAGACGCGCCGTATTCGACCAAACGCTAAGCGATCGCTTAGAGAGGGTTCTCAATTGGAAATAAGGATTCTGATTCAATTGAGATCAATCGCGATTTGGTAATTATTTGTCCAATGATGGATATCCTTGGAATCCTAATTCTTGGGTTGATTGCTTTTAATTTGATTACTTTTTATTTTATTTTATTTCCGTTTAAATTTACAATCATATTAAACCCCCCCATTTTAGTTTCCGTTTTTCTTTAGTTTCTGTTTCTCCTTATTTTCTCTTTTCATTTAGTTTCCATTTTCATTTGGTTTCCATTTTATTTTTATTTTTATTTTTATAACTGAGCGATTAAGATCCTTGCAAACTCCTTGAGAGACGACTTAGGTTGACGATTTACTACAAATTTTTAATAAACCTAATTTAATTAATTTGCGCGAGTTCGACAGCTCGTGTTAGTGGCGCGATTCTACGTGGAATCAACGAAAAAAAAAAATCAGAAAACTGGCGCTAGTCTGCACCAGTTCCGCGCGATTTCGCGCAAGTGGTTTTAATTACATCGCTGCCGTTTTGGCAGCGTATAAACCTAACCATCCCCCCCCCCTCAATTCCTCATTCCTCGCGCCGAAGGCCTTCCTCTCCCCCTTCTTCTCACTTCATCTCTTCCTCTCTCTCTTCTTCTCCCATTCCCTCACACACCGTGCTTCAATTTTCCAACACAAACAGTCACTCAATCACACACCAAGCACATTCTCACACATTTTCTCATATTTTCCATGGCACCCAAGGTAAGTTCTTTAAAAAGAATCTTGTTCTCTCTTGATACTTGTCTCTAAAAAAATGCTCTGACAGGGTTATCCTTTTCAAAAAACGCTCTGCTAGGGTTTTCCTTTTCATGGAGGAAAATATAGCTACTGAAGGCCAAACTTCAAAAGAAGAAGAAGATCTACTACGTAGGAGTAATAAGAGAAATAAAGATGGAGATAGGGTGTTTACTGAATCACAGTCTAGGGTTCCTAGACATGAATCTTGGATGGTTGACGACAGTAATAAAAAGATGACTTGGCGAGAGATGCTCATGCAACACAATGGTGAAACAGATGACTGGGAAGGAATGGATTGGAATTTGGAAGAAAATGTTGATCAAAGTGCACCTGCGGAGGAAGAGGATGTGAATTATGGTGGGATTAAAATGTGGACAGAGGAAGATGGTAGAACTCATTTTGGTTGTACTAGAAAAG